AGTCCTCCACTGTGCAGTTCCACACAGTGGTTGGTTATCTAGATTTAACAGTGGTTAAATGTTGACACAACTGCATCTTTATGGTTTTTCTTTGCTGAAACATTTTCAAATCAGCAGTTGACCTTTATCAAATTTCATATCAAATTACCTAAGTATGGTTCGCTGAAACATGACTTAATAACAGACCTCACAAAATCAGCGGTGTCCTTGGTGTGTAAGTCCTGGGCTCAATTCACATTTCCCAGAGATTGATGTAAGAATGTTTTATGTCTGGTTGTTCAAAGTGGGGTCTAAAGATGAACCACAGATGTGTTTGCTTGGGACCCGTTCTACTTTTTTGTGTGTTTGTTTTTAATTCTAAGACTTTGGCTGATTTCTTTAAGTACTTATTTATTTATTTTAATTGACAAAAATTGTAGAGATCGGTACTGAAGGGGCTTTGGACAAGTGTCATGGATATATCTTACCTTCTGAATTTTTTTCCCTTTAGATGTTTGAATTATTCATGAAACCTCATGATTTTCCGTAAGCTGGAAGTCAGATATAAAGACCCGGTTAGATTCCAGTTAAACAGTTTAGTCAAAAACAATTTTTAAGGGCCAGATAGCTCAGGAGACTAAGAGTCTGCTTAGCCAAGTGCAGGGACTGGGGTTCAATCCCTGGCACCACAGGCTGCGCCATCCACACCTACAAGCATGCTGAGCCACCAAGTCCAGGTGTGGTGGAGTATGCCTATAATCCCAGTGCTGGGGAGGCCAAAAACAGGAGGATCACTATGAGTCTGAGCTGTTCAGTGAGACTGTGTACCAAATACATTAAAAATAATAATAAATAAAAACAATTTTTAAAGTGATTCCACACACTCCATGTTGCCATAGACTGTCTAACATTAAAGATGCTAAGAGTGATTTTTGGATTAAGGGGGTAGCAGCTATGTTTCACACTGACTAGTTGTCTTTTCTCATCTGCGACTGCTAAGCGGGGAGACAGAACAGCACCAGTTAGCATCCAGTTTCCCTCAACTTTTTGTTTTATAGTTTCAGCCAATATCATGGGCAATTCATGCTTATCCATGTTGCAAAAAGGATGTATTTAAACATTCTATCATTCTTTCTATTCCTGTTCCCTAACCTTCCAGTAAGAGAAGAACTTTCACTTATTAATGGTAACCGTTTGGTTACTTTACAGTGCAGTTTTTATTTCAAAGAAAAAAATGTTTAACTCATGATATTAAATATAGGTAAATATTTAAAACCACATGGCTGAGGGCACTCTGCTCGGGTTCCCTTTCTGTCCCTCTCTTGGACAGAAGCTTTCTTTCCCTCAATAAATGTTATGCTCTTAAAAACAAAACAAAACAACAACCCCCCCCCCCAAGGCCATAGGCCTTATGAGGCTGAGAGACTGTACCTAGGAAAGACACGGGAGAAGTGCTTTGAGGGAAACTCACCGCGGCTTCTTTCCAAGGAACATATTATAAGAGCGTGGCTGGAACGCAAAACCCCGTAGAAGGCAGTACAGTGTCATTGGTGAAAGCTTTCACCTAATTTGCTATGACATCTTATTAACTTAAATGTAACTATAAAGACCCTATTTCAAAATAAGGTCACCTTCACAGCTCTGAGGAATTGGGCAGAACACTTTAGGGGATATGGTTCAACCCAGAATGATGACTATGTTATGATAAATTGGCCATAATCATTTTTGGTGTCTCAGTGTCCTAGTGATCCTTGCTCAGCTTGTGTATTCAAAAGTCATTACTGGGTATGGTGGCGCATGCCTGTCATTCCAGCACTTGGGAGGCTGGTGCAGGAGGACCGCTGTGAGTTTGAGGCCAGCCTGGGCTACAAAGTGAGCTCGAGGCCAGCCTAAAATGTGTGGCAAGACCCTGGCTCAGAAAGACCAAAAAAAGGCCAGGGAGATAGCTCAGTAGAATAAGTGCTTGCCTGGCAAATGCAGGGCTTTGAGTTCAATGCCTGGTATTGAAAAAAAAAAAAAGCAGGAATAAACACCACTACCTCACTGATAATTCTATGATTTGGGGCTGGGGAGATAGCTCAGTGGAATAAGCACTTCCCTGGCAAGTGCAAGGGCCTGTGTTCAATCTCTGGTTCCTCAAAAAA